GGATCCCTCTCTGAAAATATATATATATTTATATATATATATATATATATATATATATATATATATATATATATATATATATATATATATATATATATATATATATATATCCAATGACTGTGGGTCTACTAATATATTTCACAAACATCTTATTCGTTTTTTTTCTCTTCATTCCAAAGAAAAGAACGTAGACTAATCTTTATCCATGATCACTGCCAAAAAAAAAGTAAAAATAAAAAATAAATGCATTTGTTTGCAAGTATTCCTCAATCTTTTTTTCTCTCCTATCCTACCCCGCACCCTCATTTACTCCCTAATCTCCTCCTTATCTTCCTCTTCCTCACAACCTCGAAGACTTAAAAAAAAGGATAAAAAGGGGGGAAAAAGGGAAAGGAAATTCTCCGGTTCACACAAGCCAACTTACCCTTCGGCCTGAGGTTCTTCGTCTGGTTCTCTCGCTCCAACTTGACCTGGTCCTCGTCGGGCTGGGTCGGTTCGGGTGCGGGCGGGTTCACCATGAGCTCTCGGGGTATCTCTGGTCAGGGGGGAATGGGTGAGGGGGTGAGGGTTGGGGGGAGAGAGGGGGAAGGGGTAGGAGTGAAGGGTGAATGGATGAGGAGGGTGAGGGTTGAGGCGAGAAGAGGGGAAGGGGTAGGAGTGAAGGGTAAATGAGGGGGGAGGTAAGGTAAAGGAGAGGGTGAAGGGGGGGGGTAAGGGGGTAAGGGTTGGGGGAGAAAGACGGAAGGGTAGGAATGAAGGGTGAAAGGGGGTAGGTAGGGTACGGGAGAGGAAGGAAGGGGAGAGAGGAGTGGGGTAAGGGAAGGATAAATAAGGGGGGAGGGAAGGAGGGAATGGGTGAAGGGGAAAAAGAGTAAGGGGTAAGGATAAGAGGAAGGTGTAAGAAGTAAGGGTAAGGGGTAGAAGAAAGGTGAATGGGAAAGGTATTGGAAATCGTTGTACATTTGGGTTTGGTGAATGGGGTAAGGGCGGGGGGGGGGTAGGGATGCGGAAATCGGTTTTTTTAATCTTTTGTTATTCTTCTTTGTTATTACTAAACATATTTTCAATATTCTAGCCTTTCTCTATCTATCTTATCAATTGATTCACTAATACATCTATTCATTTGCCAACATGTACATGGATTTACTATTACTCATTATGGGGATTTATATAATGGAAAAGAAAAGGAACTAGTGGTTTTAAAGAATGTGAAGGTATATCTATCTCTTCTACAACAATATTCATGACAATTCTGAATATCTGTAAACGGCAATATTCATGAGTATTCTATCAACTTATGGCAATATTCATGGGTATTAAGTTAATCTACGACAATATTCACGAATATTCTGAATATCAAGAGTATTTCAAGCATGAACCTACACCAATATTCAAGAGTATTTCAAGCAATGCAATATTCAAGAGTATTTCAAGTTTTCAAGAGTATTTCAAGCATGAACCTACGCCAATATTCAAGAGTATTTCAAGCATGAACCTACGCCAATATTCAGAGTATTTCCGCAGTATTTCAAGCATGGTCAAGAGTATTTCAAGCATGACACCAATATTCAAGAGTATTTCAAGCATGAACCTACACCAATATTCAAGAGTATTTCAAGCATGAACCTACGCCAATATTCACGAATATTCTTCACCATCACCCTCTACCCTACGTCCCACCACGAGGGTCCCTCCCCCCTCCCCCACCCGCTTAACACCAACTCACCATAGACTTTGATGCTGCCGTTGGTCTCTCCCAAGGAATTCTTCGCGTAGCAGCCGTAAGACATGTAATCCTCAGGCTGCACATTCTTGATCTTGAGCCGCATGTAGGCCCTGTAACTGTTCTCTGTGACCACCGTGTCGAATCTCCCACCTGTACCGCCAGTGCGAAGAAAGAGAGGATACAGGAGAGGAAGAGGAAGAGAGGAGGGGAGGAGAATAGGGGAGGGGGTGGGTAAGAGTGTGTGTGGTTTGTGAGTGAGTGGGTGTTGGGGTTGGGGGGGTAAGGGGAGGGTGAGAGATATGTTATTAGAATTTTTTTTTTTTTTTTTTTTTTTTTTTTTTTTTTACTTAGGGATAGGTTATTTAAGGTTATTATTTTAGTTGTATGTGTGTGTTGTATTTGGAATCGATGACGAAGAAGCTTTTGTTACACAGACATGCATGGTATCATTTCACAATAACCTTTTCTTCAATAAACGTACTAAAAACAATACCTTTGAACACATTAACATGTACTACCGCGTATTACATCATTTCTTACAATATAGAGCAACACAATCTCGAATCTCTAATCACCAATGACCAATCAAAGACCTCATTATATCACACACAATCATAGAAGGTTGCATATACTCACTAGATAAGATCATCTTCCCCTTATCATCTGTCCAGTAGTTGATAGACCGAGGGAAGGCCTCTGTGTGGCACTCGAGGGTCACGGACATGCCAAGTGCCACTCCAACGAGCTGGTTGGGAATCCACAACACGGGCTGGA